ATCAGCTCCAGCATTGCTCCAAGCCCAAACTCGATCCGTTTACTACCCGGAATCCACCTGACGCCCTCGCGACCTCAACCAATTATACCATCACGTCTTAAAACGAAATATCAACTTAGTCGAGCCTTCAACTCATATCAAACAGCACTAAAAACACGAATCACCCTCCAATTCAAAGTTAATGAACTTTGAAACTTCAAACTTCTACAATCGATGCCAAAACCTATCAAATCACGTCCGATTGACCTCAAAGTTTGCACACAAGTCATAATTGACATTACGGACCTATTCCCACTTCCAAAATCAGAATCCGACCCCGATATCATAAAGTCTCTTAATCCCGATCAAACTGAATGGTAAGAATTCAGTATACATTGACCGAAATGAACCCTAAATGACCTACGGACCTCCAAATCCTCTTCCGGATGCTCTCCCAATAACAGAATCACCATACGGAGATATTCCAAGGCTCGTAATCCCAAACGAACATCGATAACATTGAAATAAACCTCAACCCAATTTTATGAAATTCTGCCAAATGCCAACTTTCCACTATTGGCGCCTAAATGCTCCCGGGTCATCCAAAATCGGATCCGGACATACGCCCAAGTACAAAATCATCATACGAATCTGTTGGCACCTTCAAATCCCGATTCTAAGGTCGTTTACTCAAAAAAATCACACTTTAGTCAATTCCTCCAACTTAAGGCTTTCGAAATTAGAATTTTCTTTCCAAATCAACTCCGAACTTTCCGAAATTAAATTCCGACCCCGCGTACAAGTCATTATACCCGAAGTGAAGCTACTGAAAGTCTCAAACCGCCGAACGGCGCGCTAAATCTCATAAACAACCGGTAGGGTCGTTACATTCTCTCCCACTTAAACATGCGTTCATCCTCGAACGTGCTAAGAACTGCTTTGGAGTTGTCCGAAATCACTGTTCAACAACCCAATTGGGCACATTAGCTCGAGTCAATCTGAAGACTCTACCTTTTATTTAGTCAAATAAGCCTTAGTGCTAAATTCCAACATCTGTGACTCTCCACCCGGCATGTTTGCAACATACGAACACCGTATCAATCACTACACATTGCACCAAACACGATTGTATACCCTTACTGAATTCTTACCATGCACCGCGTAACTCATAACCACCTGCCAAATCACAATTTATGGAGTCTCTCATCCCGACAAGAACCATTACTTCATTCTGGACTGAACAACAATATTTACTCTTTAATATGCTTCAAATAAATCTGATCGCACTGATCCCAAATCCAATAATCTCGTCTCACCCAGTACAAGCTGCTCAGGCAATAAGCCACCTCAGACACTACCAAAAGTATCATATGATGCCACAATGTGCCAACAAGCTACAAACTCGAATTTGATACACAAGGAAACGAACTCTAGAAAGTTGTACTCTACCCACGCAACTAATTTAAACAACCGAGAAGATGTTATAAACCTTCCTCAGGAAACGAGAAGCAAACACACAATAATAGATATGAGAATCTTTACTCAATATAACACTGGTGCGGTGTGCAACCCGATCCAACCATGATACCCGTGACGGCGTGCCACCCAATCCAAACAATATATCTGTGGCAGCGTGCCACCCGATCCAACCATATACCCATGGCGGCGTGCCATCCGGTCCACACATAATAATCTAAAGTAAACACACATCGAGTCTTAACCCTTATACTCACGAAATGCCTGAATATGAACAATAAGCACTCCAAGTGCATAATACAAATCCTGGGGAGATGGGTGCGATACATGATCTGCATCTCGAGAGCCATCCTGCTCAGATAACACCACAAACTATACGGGATCTTAATACGAGTGCGAATAATCAAACCGCCTCATAACCCACATGGCACAATAGAGACTACACGGAAGGGTCGACAACAGAAATATCATCCAAGGCCCAAAGACCCCTCCAAAAACAACGCTATGCTGAAATGAGCACATCCAGCTTGATATAGAGCCCATATTCACATGTAGATCTATCCACGAACCTCAAGTCGATTATGATGGTACCTCACTGGGCTAATAACCCTTCAAGGACCCACAATGACCTATTCACGACACATAAGAACAGCCGTCAAATCCAAAACGGACTCACATGGTCCACAACCCAAGGAATTGAATGCCTCTCAGGCATAAACTCTCGCACTTGTGATATAACCATGACCTCCATATTCGGTCTCAATCTTTAACAATCAAGTGACTGACATGTCACACTTACACAAATATACCTGTAGGGCATGCTCCCACGACCATTCCGCTCAGGTAGCAAGGTCCGCACATCCATAGCACCGGCCGTTCTAATTCTGTAGAGTGAGTCAAAAATCTGCAAGTCATTACACAAAACCTCTTCTACATGACATTGATCTCAGATGACGCTAAAGACAATACCAGCTTACTCTAAATATCTGAATTCTTCCATGCTCATCCGATCTCTCGAAATTCTTGTCGACATCAACTGCAACCTTGATCCTCAACTTCCAATTTATTCTCAACTTGCCTTAGAAACAATATTAGTTCCATTCATTAACGTAACGAAACCCAACAATATTCATCCCGAGTGAACCAATCCACGAGACCACATCGTCTCAATACCCATGAACCGTCTCATACTCTCCTTAAGCACTCCATAGCATAGCCAACGGGTACACCCATTCTGCAAGACCTTCCCTGAATCCGAAGATACTTATTCCCTTCGTCCAATACTGCACCGCATACCCAATAATACCATAGAACATTCCAAGTCCTTAGGCACTATACTCAAAATTTTGAACCTACCTGGACGACTGTTGAGAGTCACCCACATTGTCTTGGTCCCGAGTATAAGCCAAACTCTAGCGCTCTGCCAGCACGTGCACATCCTATCAAAGAAGCACCCAACTGAATTCTTTTCCCTTGTACATTACTTCCACCAGAAGCAGAAACTCTGAGTCTTCTCAAAACTGAACATGAACCGATAAGGCCCAAGTATAGCACACATTCCTCCAATACTTTTCTCAAATTACCACTGATGTTTTCTTTCCTTAGTTGTAATAACCCACCAATATGCCGATAACCAGAAACCTCACAAGTAGACAACCATGCAATCCAATCGTAGACAGTGGGGCTCTCCCACTTAGCTCGAAGCTACAGGTACATAACCCCGGAACCCACCAATATTCCTCCTTCCACATAGACATGAGCCTGCATAATCGACTTGCCAAATTTCTCGAAATCCTCCTGTTAAATATTTCGTGAACATTCTGACTCACTAGCCACATTCACATATTCGACCTCTTACTGGATAGCCAGTAGAATTCTTCGTAGAAGCTCTGTCAACACCACAAAATCAGTAAACCATCCTGAGCCTGTGTTTATTTACCAGCTGTACAAGTCTGTTAAGTCCCTATTGACATCAACTAAAGGTGCGATAATACACTTCAAATCCGAAGTCATGTTGCATCCCTCTTCATATCAAGCAACTCATTTCTATCGTATCCAACCTTCCTTAGATTAGTCCATAGACCTAGTGACTGTCCACCATAAATCCCAAATCACTCTAAACTTTCCCCAAGGCGTGTAGCTATACTACCACATAACCCATATGATACTCTGCCACTCTCCCACTTTGGTCAAACCCTCTCCTTTAAGCAACTACTCGATTTTCGCTTCTCACACTTGGCCTTCTAGAAATTTAACCACTACAAGACACATTCCACATGTCCTTCCTCATCCTACGCTGCCCAGTTATTGCATTAAATCAAATTCCGTCTCTGTAGCACTTGAACCAATAGATCGCTACCAACTTTAAAGCCTCTCCGAACATCATCCTTCTTGAACCATCAACACTAGGAACATCGATTCGATCCTGAATCTCTGCACAGCGCGATCTCTGGCAGCCACTTCCCCGACACTATTCCACAATACCCTGCCCCAAAGGTGAATAGAAGAAGACCATAACACCGGCGAACCTTAACGCGTTCAACAAGGACGATGACACCACATCACAATTGAGAACTCTACCGCGCTCGAAAATACCAAGTCTTGTTATTCCATCAACCCAAATCTAAACATTCCTATTCTGATTGCATTTCCTTCATCGAAAATAAAATGTTGAACTTCTGAATCATGCACTGAGAAAAACCTCCTTTCAAGTCATTCACTGCCTCGACACATAAACAAGCACCCTACCATTACACCAACATAGTGCGATAACAACGCACGAATTGTCATAACAATCAATAACAAATCTCAAAACCATAGGAAATACTGATGCTGAGATGAAAGGATAGGACGGCCTTCCACCGGGCAACAGTAATAGCCCAATCAAATACGCAGACAGAAACATCCTGCACCACCTCTGTAGTACCATGACAATTCCTCGATTCCCAATCTATAACAAGCGCTTCAAGTCACATAAGATTGAATAGGAAATAAATAAAGGTACAAGCCTCAAAAGAATCAATTCGCACGATGAGGAATCAAGAAGGGAAGTGCACCTAACAACCTTGTAGCCTCTCGAAGATAAGTGCAGACATCTCCGCACCGATCCGCAAGACTCTACTAGACTCGCTCATGACTCATGAGACCTTAGTGAACCTAGTGCTCTGATACCATGTTATTACGACCCAAAATCCATTAAAGGTCGTGATGGCGCCAGACACCGCTGTCAGGCAAGCCAAAAATAAATACTTAATTTGGTTCTCATTTTAATATTTTTGAAGTCATATTTTTCTTCAATTAAATAGTAAAAGATGGTATTCACAGTGTAAATAATAATATTCTTAACAAATTTAATACAGAACAACCCATAATCACCCCAAAACCCAGTGTCACAAGTGCATGAGCATCAACTACGAATGTAACATAAAATACAGCATTTGTCCGGAATACAATTTTGGGCAGGAGAATTATAAATACTCTAAAGGAGACTCTGCCGGCTATGGATCGTAATATGGAATGCAGCTCACGTAAGTCCCCGCATGCATACACACCTCTGCTCTCACAAGGCCACTAGTCGCATATGTACCTGCATAAAAATGTGCAGCAAGTGTAGTATGAGTACGTAATCAACATATACCTAGTAAGTATCTAGCCTAACCTCGGAGGAGTAGTGACGAGGGGTCGACATCGACACCCACTAGTGGTCCAATAACATCAGGTACAGTAAAGAGGTAAGTAAATATGAGGCAGAGTAAATAAATGAGGTAAACAAGGATAAATCACGTGGTACAAATCTCCTTCTTTACGAGGAACTCAAGCTCTCCATTAGAAATTCCCTCCTTAATCGGAGCATATATATAGATATAGTGGATCTCATCAGATAGATTATCATTACTCAAATCAGGAAAACTCACAGATACACTGTCTTCTTGCCAAATATTACGCACGATTCCATGAGGATATGATTTAGGAAATGTCGAGGCGTACGATTCGATCCAACATAAATATTTAAACTGTGCACTGTCGATGGTCGAACGGCACGAACTATAGATACATCTATTAAACATTCGAGGCAAACGGCCCGCTCCCATAAGAGTGTGGTACATAAATCCTGCCGAGGCGATCGGCCCGATCCCATAAGAGTGAAATACATAATCCTGCCGAGGTGAACGACCCGATCCCATAAGGGTGAAATACATAATCCCGCTGAGGCGAATACACCGATCCCATTAGAATAGGAAGATTTGACGGGTCCTTGACCCCACTCACGAATAAACGTGTGAGTTGTAATTTCTTTAACGAAAACCTTTCAATAAAGTATATATATATATATATGACGGAAACATGATGTAAGGGGAGTAAAGTTATTCGGTGACTAATCATGAACTCATGAAGTCTCTACAATAGCAAGTCTAGTCTCAAGTAGAAATGTAAAATAGAGGAATTTAACATGCGAGAAAATGCTCAAATAGTGCAGCTACATCATGATGTGAATGTAAGCCTACCCGGACAATAACATGTATGTAGCTACGTATGGGTTCTCGTTACATCGCGCGTACGTATTCCCCACAATAAGTAGCATGCATCAACATACAACACCTAGGGATATTTTCCCCCTCACAGAGTTACACAGGAGACTTACCTCGTCTCAAAGCTTACTTTCCAGTCCAAAATTGTGCTTTAACTCCTCAACTCGGTGCCAAACAATCAAAGCTTGTCAAATGTTATATAAAATAGTCAATATATGCTCAAAAGTTCACATCTTAGCTATTGAAATGATTTTTCCAGCCCAATTTGAAGAATTCCTAAAATTTACCCCCAGGCCCACATGCCCATATTCCGAAACTTTTTGAAGATAATCACTGCCCATAACATCATGAACTCAATATATGATTTGTTCTCAATTCCACGCCCTAATTCTTGGTCAAAATTCAAAAATACAAATTCTAGGTTTTCTACCGAAAATCCCATAAATTTTCCCAAATTTTCATGTTTAAATCCATGCATAAACCATGTATTTAACTCACAATATGTGGGGATCACTTACCTCGTTAAAGAGGACAAAATGGCACTCCAAAATTGCCCCCAAGGCCGACTCCAACGAGAGAAAAGAGGTGAAATGAGCCAAAACCCGATTTAGCTAATTTATGTATTCTGCCCAGGCAACCTCCGCACCTGCGCTCACTAGACCTCTTCTGCGGTTCCGCAGGTATGGAAAAATATTCCGCTTCTGCGGAAGTCCCCCAGCTGCCCAGCCCGCTTCTGCATTAAATTCACCTGCGGACTGCCATTCCCCCACTCCCTTTTCACATCTGCAACCTCCTGGCCACTTTTGCGGCTCCGCACCTGCTGTTACACCAGATGACAGCAGATGACAGCAGCTCCAGCATTCCTCCAAGCCCAATCTCGATCTGTTTACCATCCGGAATCCACCGAGGCCCTCAGGACATCAACCAATTATACCATCATGTCTTAAAACTCAATATGAACTTAGTCGAGCCTTCAATTCATATCAAACAGTGCTAAAAAAATAAATCACCCTCCAATTCAAACTTAATGAACTTTGAAATTTTAGACTTCTACATTCGATGTCGAAGCCTATCAAATCACGTCCGATTGACCTCAAATTTTGCACACAAGTCATAATTGACATTACGGACCTACTCCCACTTCCGGAATCAGAATCCGACTCCGATAAAAAAAAGTCCACTCCCCGTCAAACTTCTCAGAAAGCTTCGAATTTCTAACTTTTACCAAATGACCCCGAAATGACCTACGAACCTCCAAATCCTCTTCCGGGCGTGGTCCCAATACCAGAATCACCATACGGAGCTATTTCTAGAATCGGAATCTCAAACGAACATCAATAATATTGAAATACACCTCATCGAATTTTATGAAATTTTTTCAAGTGCCAACTTTCCACCATATGCGCCGAAACGCTCCCGGGTCATCCAAAACCCGATACGGATGCTCAAGTCCAAAATCATCATATCAACCNCACAAGTCATAATTGACATTACGGACCTACTCCCACTTCCGGAATCAGAATCCGACTCCGATAACAAAAAGTCCACTCCCCGTCAAACTTCTCAGAAAGCTTCGAATTTCTAAATTAGAATTTTCTTTCCAAATCAACTCTGAACTTCCCGAAATTAAATTCCGACCACGTATACAAGTCATAATACCCGAAGTGAAGCTACTCAAGTTCTCAAACTGCCGAACGACACGCTAAAGCTCAAAATGACCGGTCGGATCGTTACATTTCAGCTGACATATATCACTGTTTTGGAAATTTCTGAAAGACACTATCTTCTANCTATTTCTAGAATCGGAATCTCAAACGAACATCAATAATATTGAAATACACCTCATCGAATTTTATGAAATTTTTTCAAGTGCCAACTTTCCACCATATGCGCCGAAACGCTCCCGGGTCATCCAAAACCCGATACGGATGCTCAAGTCCAAAATCATCATATCAACCTGTTGGAACCTTCAAATCCCGATTCCAAGGTCGTTTACTCAAACAATCACACTTTAGTCAATTCCTCCAACTTAAGGCTTCCGAAATTAGAATTTTCTTTCCAAATCAACTCTGAACTTCCCGAAATTAAATTCCGACCACGTGTACAAGTCATAATACCCGAAGTGAAGCTACTCAAGTTCTCAAACTGCCGAACGACGCGCTAAAGCTCAAAATGACCGGTCGGATCGTTACATTTCAGCTGATATATATCACTGTTTTGGAAATTTCTGAAAGACACTATCTTCTGTTTCAGTCGAAATTGGTATGAAATTACTGTGGAGTTTTAAATGTTGAACTTGAAAGAATGCCTACTTTTTTATGTTGGAAATTACTGTATTTGGACATAGCTGTGAAGCTCATCACTATCTTTAGTTCTTTATTTATTATTGTGACTTACTGAGTTGGTTGTACTCATACTACTCGTGTGCAGATCCAAGTGATCCCGGACACCGCGGGTGTTGATTCTTTTGCACAATTGATTTTCTGGAGATTCCGAGGTAGATGTCGTGTTTTGCAGACCTTGTCTCTCCTTCCCTATCCTCTTATTTATTGTATTTGGTCTCAGATCATTATAGACCATGTTTTCCAGACTTGTAATGTATGTACTTAGTGACACCGCGTTTTGGGAGTGTTTGTATCGGTATTTGGAAGATTTTTAGTATTGTATTTGAATATTATGTTTCCAAACTAAAAGGAAATCGTGATTTATTGAGGTTGTCGGCTTGTCTAGTATTGAGATATGCGCCATCACGACAGGTGTGATTTTTGGATTGTGACAATAGAGTTGTAATGGAGTTGTGGCGGTGGTTGCTAGTAGTAGTTTTCCGCTAGAGATTGGTGTTGGTG